AAGCATCATTTATAGGACTCTGATTCAAAATCCCTTACTAACACAGAAAATATATTGAGCAAAATTAACAAACAAAAACTTTCAACACAGAAGTCTGGGTCTTATGAACACTGCCTATGAATGTGTATAGCTCCAGATTAACAACCCCAGCCAAAATTTCTGATAAATAAGCAAACCTAGCCAGCTAACAACACCCAGTTGTTTACCATGATATAATTTTTGTCCTTAGAGGCTGTATTTGCAAAGTCAAGTAGAATTAAGTATAGAAATAATAAGCAAATTATCAAATATTAATATTTTGTGTTAACTTTAGAAAATATATGTGCAAACCATTATACACTGAAATATGTTGCACATCTGACATTGGAGTACTTTTTAAGTTTTAGATAATGCATATTAGAATATTTGAAATATATTGGGTTTTGACTTAGACTTGTGAATTTTTGTTAAAAAGTATAATAGAATTGTACTGTTTGTAACTTCATTGCAATGTTTAGGAATAACCATACTTATCATATTTATCATTTTCATTTATTAGATTTACATGAGTAAAACGAGATTTTTTTTTCATTGAAAAACTTAAAAATCAAATGGAATATGTTAAATTAATTTTTAAAATTNCAGAAATGCCATTGCTCTAGGAAAAACATTCAAAATGCCATTCCGTTACCAACATATAGAAAGAATATCAGCCTTTGCAATTGGCCCGTCCTTATCTGCATGGCTGATAAGATTACTGTTCAAAATACTCATTCTTTTTCTTCTACTTCCATGCATAGAGTCCAGTTTGCTTATCTCTCAGTTCTAGGTTTTGACAATGGGATATTTAGCTGTTGTGACAGAAGCAGAAGTTTGTTTAAAAAGAACTTGTGTGTTTGGGCTCTAGCTAAATAAATTCTGATTGTTATTTGACACTGAGATTTTGTGATTGTTATAGCTTTATTGTATTTATAATTAACCAATACACACAGATCTGTCTTAGTAATGTGAAATGTCAAAGGTCTTAAACACATATTCACAGAGCTAGAAAATGCATGCAGAATCAAGATTAAGAGTCATTTACATATTTATAAGAAACATTACTTTTCCTGGTAGCAATACTATGAAAATAATTAAAAATAGTGTTAGGCTGTAAATATATTAGTTTAATCAAATAGAATGGATAGGAGCCTATTAAAGAGTTATGTAATTATATTTGCATGAATCAAGCCATAAAATTGAAAGAGGATGTAAAGAAATTAGAGCTTATCTCAACTTCAAAGACTTGGGCTGGGAAAAAAAACAATGGTGCGAAGCATCATTTATAGGACTCTGATTCAAAATCCCTTACTAACACAGAAAATATATTGAGCA